ATATACGGACATTGTTCTATTCGGTGAAGACGCTGACAAAATGCAGAGTCTTCTAACCACCCTAAGCAACAATACAAGAATGTTCGGGATGCGGTTTCCCCATCGAAATGCAAAATGTTGCTTCAAGATTGGGTTGCATCGGCACCTGAACTAGTGATAGGGAGTGAAGTAGTCGATCGTGTAGACCGACCAGCGACTGCCTCGTCGAGCTTTGTTTTGTAGTGTAGGAATAGGTTGGAAGAAAGCTAGGGGCGGCCAGACCAAAACATGGAATAAATGCATGAAGTCATTGACGAGTGGACTTAGCCATGTCGGTAATTGTCGACTACCTGGTTGGGGTCCGCGAGATGATAATAATCGATGGTTAAAGACCTTGGATGACATGGCTCAAAATCGTTCGCAATGGCGCCGGTGCATTTATTCTTTGTGTTCTCAAATCTTAATCTTCTGGATTCTTCAACACCTCTAGTTTCGACTCTCTAAACTTTTCTCACTGAATCATACTTCTTAAATAATATCTTCTAATCCTAACCTCTCCGATTACTTCTAATACCTTTACTACCTCTTCTACTATTGGATTTGAATTGACAATTATATCTCTGTGCTGATGTGGTATGGCGACATGAACTGATGTACTTACGTACGATGTTCTACGTTGCAACTGACTGGCTGACTGACTCGTGTAGACCGCTTCACTTATCTTGGGAGTCTCATCAGTGCTGATAGCCTGGTGACTGACGAAATCTCAGCACGGATACCGAAGGCTCGATTGGCTTTTGCCAACCTGCGTCACTTATGGCGTAGGCGAGATATCCGTTTGCTGACCAAAGGAGAGTGTACTGCGCAGTAGTTCGCTCCGTTCTCCTATATGTATGCGAAACATGGCCAGTGAGAGTAGATGTTCGTAGGTTACTAGTATTCGATCATAGATGTCTTAGAAGCATTGCTCGTATATCGTGGGACAACCGAGTAAGCAATGCTGTCGTTAGGAAACGAGTACTAGGTAAGGATGGCAGATCAATAGATGAGATGGTGAAACTTCATCAGTTGAGGTGGTTGGGACATGTATTACGAATGCCTAACCACCGACTGCCTCGAAGAGCTATGTTTTGTGGTGTAGGAATAGGTTGGAAGAAAGTTAGGGGCGACCAGATCAAAACATGGCATAAATCGATGAAGTCACTGACAAGCGGACTGAGTCATGTTGGCTAGCTTGTTGCGGTCCGCGAGACGTATGCCACCAATAGTTAGACACTTTGAACGACATGGCTCAAAATCGTTTGCAATGGCGCAAGTGTATCCATTCGTTGTGCTTCCTCAAATCCCAATCTTCTGGGTTCTTCAACACCTCTAGTTTCGACTCTCTAAACTTTTATCACTGAATCATACTTCTTAAATAATATCTTCTAATCCTAACCTCTCCGATTACTTCTAATACCTTTACTCTCTCTACTACTATTGGATTTTATTTGACAATTATATCTCTGTGCTGATGTGGTATGGCAACATGAACTAACGTACATACGTACGAAGTTCTAAGTTGCGACTGACTGACTGTTTCTAACCATCGAATATTATCATCTCGCGGACGTCAGTCAGGTAGTCTACACCTACGAACATCACTTAGGCCACTTCTCAGTGACTTCATGGATTTCTGCCATGTTTTGGCTTGGCATCTTCTTGCTTTCTTCCAACCTACTCCTACACCTCAGAATATCTCTCGAGGAGGCAGTCGGTGACTAAGCATTCGCAACACATGTCCCAACCACCTCAACTGATAAAGTTTCAATACTTCATCTGTTGATCTCCCTACCTAGTACTCTCTCTAACATCAGCATGGTCTACTCGGTTGTCCCAGGATACACGAGTAATGCTTCGGAGACACCTTTGGTCTATTGTCTGAAACAAGATATTATACCTTCGGAGATGATATGCTCGCTAATGGATACGCTTGAATTCTATAACGAGTTCAGCTTGCTGGGTAAACAGAACGAAAGCAATGACTCAGTGACACGATTGGCTCTTCTAATCTGTTTGTCTCAGCCTTGGCTAACTAGATCAAGAAGTTTTCATAAAGGGTAGAGAGTATTTTATAAGCACCCAGAAAATGCGAGCTGTCTAAGCACATAAATCAAGCTTATTTATACAATGATAAAACGCCCTTGGGAGAACCACAAAGTAGCGTACTAAATTAATCCATCAACCAATGACAGTCAAGGATTTCCGAGTGGGAAACGTACAATGTAGGTTAACCAAGCGTCTCTTGGCGCAGAAACATAAACATTGAAAATTTCAGAAATAAATTACAAAATTAGGACCTTTTGCAAGTGAGTTCTGGGGATCTAACGTCCCCAACACTCCTCCCCTTTTTGATAGCTTACGTTCCTGGGGTCGACTTTCATCTTGATTGTTCGCCGCTCTCGGTGAGGCCACTTTCTAGAACGGACATAAGCTTATTGTTGAGCTTTCTATCGTGGTGGGGCTGCTGGTTAGTTGAAGTTATCCAGTAGGATGTCTAGGGGAAGATTTACTCCTGTTGTTGGGCGATCTAAGGCAAGCCATTTGCATATCTGATTCCGATGGTGTGATCATCTATCACCTCCTACCTCTACTTTGTACATGACTCGGCCGACTATTCTGACCACTCGCGCTTCCGTCCATGGATCATGGGTTGGTCTGTAGTCTCGGGCAAATACAAGACATTCCACTTTGGACATGGATTGCTTTTCGGACTTTGTCTGTATTGGTGTTAATGCATTACTCAGATGCATAAGACTGGATCATTTTTAGTCTTCTTCCCATCAGGGCTTTGCCTGGGGACCTTCGCTCCGGTAACGTCTCATTTGGTGTTGTTCGATAAGCGTACAAGAAATTTTGTAACGTGTCAGCTGGTGTCCACTACCCTTTTGACTTAACCAATACTCTTTTGAATGTATCCACAAACCTTTCCGCTTTCCCATTCAATTGCTGGTGGTATGGTGGCGACCGAAAGTGCTTGATGGTTAGCCGTTGACAGAAAGCTTGGAATTGGGTAGAGGTAAATTGTGACTTGTCTTCAGATACAATCACTTCTGGTATGTCATTTAGGGAGAAATTTTTAGTGAGAAGCTGTATTATTTTTGTCGTTGGTGGCATTACGAGGCTAATTTCTGGTCATTTTGAAAGAGCGTCGTTGACAACTAGATACAGACAGATAGACAGATACAACGCAGAACTTCGTACATAAGTACATCAGTTCAGGTTGCCATACCACGCCAGCACAGACGCAACTGTCAGCTGAAATCCAAGAGTGACAGCGATAGTAGAATTATTAGAAGTAATGGAGAAGATTAGGGAGCGAAGATATGATTCGAAAAGTATGATTCAGTGATATATATTTAGAAGGTTAGAATTAAAAAGCACACAAAGAGTGGATGCACCTGCTCCATTGCAAACGATTTTGAGCCATGTCGTTCAAGTTCTCTAACCAAAGGTGACTTTCATCTCGCGGAACCCAACCAGTCCGCTTGTCAGTGACTTCATCGATTTATGCCATGTTTTGATCTGGTCGCCCCTAACTTTCTTCCAACCTATTCCTACACCACAAAACATAGCTCTTCGAGGCAGTCGGTGGTTAGGCATTCGTAATACATGTCCCAACCACCTCAACTGATGAAGTTTCACCATCTCATCTATTGATCTGCCATCCTTACCTAGTACTCGTTTCCTAACGACAGCATTGCTTACTCGGTTGTCCCACGATATACGAGCAATGCTTCTAAGACATCTATGATCGAATACTAGTAACCTACGAACATCTACTCTCACTGGCCATGTTTCGCATACATATAGGAGAACGGAGCGAACTACTGCGCAGTACACTCTCCTTTGGTCAGCAAACGGATATCTCGCCTACGCCATAAGTGACGCAGGTTGGCAAAAGCCAATCGAGCCTTCGGTATCCGTGCTGAGATTTCGTCAGTCACCAGGCTATCAGCACTGATGAGACTCCCAAGATAAGTGAAGCGGTCTACACGATCGACTACTTCACTCCCTATCACTAGTTCAGGTGCCGATGCAACCCAATCTTGAAGCAACATTTTGCATTTCGATGGGGAAACCGCATCCCGAACATTCTTGTATTGTTGCTTAGGGTGGTTAGAAGACTCTGCATTTTGTCAGCGTCTTCACCGAATAGAACTATGTCATCAGCATATTCTAAATCAATAAGCTAGCCTCCTGGTAAGAGGTCTACTCCTGAAAATTCAGACGAGGATAAGGTTATTTCTAGCAACATGTCTATGAAAAAATTAAACAAGAATGGAGAAAGTGGACATCACTGATGGACACCATTTGAAGTGGACAACTAGATACGTAGTTCCAGCAATAGCTAAGTTCGATTACAATAAATTATCACTGTTACAAACGACTGAAATTTACTTATCTAAACTTCGATCGTTTTCACCCACCTGCAGTTTCTGGCTAGTCCTGTGTCATTAATATCAAGAGAATTAATTTCCTAACACAGTTTTAACAAGCGATTACGTCCCCATACCTAGATTGTTAAATATTTTCAGAAATTATATAATGTTAATTTATCTGCAGGTTTTTAGTACAACGCAAACGCCTGAAATAACTAATTGTATTGTTCGACAAATTTGTTTTGTAAGTTCTAGCTGCTTGTCATCTAGATCGCAAGAAAATGAAGGAGTCAATGAACTCATATAATCATCAGTATTGTAGTCTTTGGCTGAACATATTGCTGGAAAGTTAAACATATCATCTCTCTTCAGGATTCAAACTAGTCACTTTACTGGGAAATGTTCCTTTATCAAAAATGTCTCTGAGGTCACGGAAATGATTTAAGATCATATTATGATATTAAAACTAATTTATAGCATAGTACTTTACAATTTTGCTTCATTCACTACCTGACACATATCACTAGTTATGTTTTGTTTACCTTTAGCTTTTTACATACTTTATATCTAAAACGATTGCCTGCTTTTTTATCTTTTCAGATTCATTTCTCATGACAGGGATTCGTTCATTTTTATATTAGTTCTGCTTATTTTATTACCACTATTGCCTTTTTATACGATATCAAGTGTTATTTTGTACGATAAACGATGGCCAAAGATTTGTTCGCAGTTTTACGACAGGTAAAATATTATTTGTTCTTAAATGGTGACTTTTATGGGTAGAATAATGAACTACCAAATCTCCCACCAGCAGAAGAAGAAGCCATCAAAATAGATGGTGATTCCCAAATGGATCTTTTCTTCAATGAAGTATTCCAACCATCTAAGTTAATTTAATGGTAACAAATTAATTTTTTTTAGGTTGAGTGGATTCGAAAAGAAATTGAAAAGATTCGGATAGAAATAAGTCAGGTCAAAACGAAACACGGTGAAATTTTGTCAGCACTTCAACAAAATCCAAGTGAGTACAAATTGTAAATAGCGAAACATATATATCTGAATAGTACAGAAATTATTTTGCATTTCGCATGGTCTTCAATAGGATGATCGAAGTTTGGTAACATGAACTGTCTCATGATTCCTTTGATTTTCAAGTCGTTAATCTCGTCCCACTATAACGATGTACGGTACAGCATCTCAGTTTTGTCCCTTGTAGGAGTCATTTCCTTTTATTCTGACTCCATGATATAATGTTCCGTTAGTTGTGTATTTTAACAGACTAATTCCTCCAGTGTCACCATGGTTTCACTCGAGAATATTTAGAAGCAAGTACAGTTGTTGAGATAATTTGTATTGTTAATAATCAATAGAATCAGTAAAGGGGATTTGTGTAGATCGCATTATTTCGACAGTGGAAATCCTGAACTGACCTTAGCTAGACCACTATTGAAAACCTGAAAAAAACTGAGTGACCGTTTTTTTCTGGTATGGAACTCCTCAGTGATGAGTATCCACGACCCCGCACACTGGAATCGAACTCAGGGGCTTCGGTCTCGCGTGCTAACACTTCGTTTACATTCTTATAGCTTCTTAGGTAGACTGGGTGAGCAGGAAAGACACCTGGGTGGATGTTATGGTGTCGCGGCTCAGAGAACAGAAAATGGAGACCGTCTGTTTCAGCTGTGCTCAGTTTGCCGCCTATTTCTAGCAAACACTAACTTTAAGCTCCAGGAAAGGCATCTTTTGACCTGGCGACCCCCAAAGTCGTCTCAACGTTGGACCCAACTAGATCACATTGCCGTCAGCCACCGATGGAGGGGTTCGATAGAGGACTGTCGCTCGTTCTGGAGCACATGCTTAGGTTTAGATCATGCCCTAGTGCGAGCGCGTATTTGTTTGCGCCTTATTTGGCGCTAGAAAAATATCGCAGGAAAACCTCTTAGGGCTTTACTTAATGATAATCAAGCTAAGAAAATATTTCAGGAGGAACTAGAAAAGCAGTTAGGCAACCATGTAAGCGATTCCCAACCGGAAGCAGGTTGGAATGATATCAAAAATGCTGTGGAAACGGCAGTGATATCTGCTAGCAAAGTAAACCGTAAGGCTAGGATGAAGCCGTGGATTTCAGTCGCATCCACCAAACTGATGGATGCTCGAAAACGCATCTCACCTGATAAAAATGCATCTCACTGATAAAGAGCCTACATAACGACCGCGAACAGTGGTGGGTAGCGAAAGCAAAAGTGATGGAAAAAGCAGCGGCGATAGGCAACACTAGACAACTTTTTCGCCTTATAAAGGAAACCGGTATTAGGAACCCTAATGTGATTGAGACTATCTCAGAAAAGGATGGTTGTATCATTTATTCTCAATCCAGGAGATTGGACGGATGGGCAGAATACTTTAGGGACAAGTTCAACTGGTCTTCACCCACTCCTCGGTTACCCACGATCTCCAGTCATCCTGAATGGCAAATCGACTTAAGTCCTCCTAGTTTTTATGAAGTTGAGAAAGCTGTAGGAAATCTTAAGCGAGGTAGAGCAGCAGGTCCTGATATGCTTACCCCTGAGACGTTTAAGAATGGTGGTCCAGTTTTAACAGTTAGACTGACTGAGATCTTAGGTAGAATCTGGTAACTGGACGTAATCCCATCTGACTGGCCTCAGTCGCTAATTGTCCCAATGTGTAAGAAAGGACAAAAGTCCTCTTGCGACAACAGGGGAATAAGTCTAACTAATATAGTTTCTAAATTGTTAGCCTCGATTATACTTAGACGCCTAACTAGAGCTCGTGAAGAGCGAACTCGAGAAAATCAGTCTGGTTTCAGACCTAGACGTGGCTGTATAGACCACATCTTCACACTACGACATGTCCTGGAACACAGACACACATTTAGACGTCCGACAATAGTTGTCTTCCTGAACCTTAAGGCGGCATTTAATTCTGTTGATCGTGAGGTTCTGCGGCAGTGTCTGTCATTGAAAGGTGTACCAAAGAAGTACATTAACCTTATACAAGCTCTTTACTCGAACACCACTGGTGGAGTGAAAGCTTATGGCGAACTGTCACCGAAATTCTTTACTTCAAATGGTGTCCGTCAGTGATGTCCACTTTCTCCATTCTTGTTTAATTTTTTCATAGACATGTTGCTAGAAATAACCTTATCCTCGTCTGAATTTTCAGGAGTAGACCTCTTACCAGGAGGCTAGCTTATTGATTTAGAATATGCTGATGACATAGTTCTATTCGGTGAAGACGCTGACAAAATGCAGAGTCTTCTAACCACCCTAAGCAACAATACAAGAATGTTCGGGATGCGGTTTCCCCATCGAAATGCAAAATGTTGCTTCAAGATTGGGTTGCATCGGCACCTGAACTAGTGATAGGGAGTGAAGTAGTCGATCGTGTAGACCGCTTCACTTATCTTGGGAGTCTCATCAGTGCTGATAGCCTGGTGACTGACGAAATCTCAGCACGGATACCGAAGGCTCGATTGGCTTTTGCCAACCTGCGTCACTTATGGCGTAGGCGAGATATCCGTTTGCTGACCAAAGGAGAGTGTACTGCGCAGTAGTTCGCTCCGTTCTCCTATATGTATGCGAAACATGGCCAGTGAGAGTAGATGTTCGTAGGTTACTAGTATTCGATCATAGATGTCTTAGAAGCATTGCTCGTATATCGTGGGACAACCGAGTAAGCAATGCTGTCGTTAGGAAACGAGTACTAGGTAAGGATGGCAGATCAATAGATGAGATGGTGAAACTTCATCAGTTGAGGTGGTTGGGACATGTATTACGAATGCCTAACCACCGACTGCCTCGAAGAGCTATGTTTTGTGGTGTAGGAATAGGTTGGAAGAAAGTTAGGGGCGACCAGATCAAAACATGGCATAAATCGATGAAGTCACTGACAAGCGGACTGGTTGGGTTCCGCGAGATGAAAGTCACCTTTGGTTAGAGAACTTGAACGACATGGCTCAAAATCGTTTGCAATGGAGCAGGTGCATTCATTCATTGTTTTCTCTCAAATCCTAAACTTCTGGATTCTTCAACACCTCTACTTTTGACTTTCTAAACTTTTCTCACTGAATCATACTTCTTGAATAATATCTTCTAATCCTAATCTCTCCGATTACTTCTAATACCTTTACTCTCTCTACTACTATTGGATTTTATTTGACAATTATATCTCTGTGCTGATGTGGTATGCCAGCATGAAGTGATGTACTTACGTACGAAGTTCCACGTTGCATCTGACTGACTGACTGACTGACTATAGCTTCTCCAATCCGAAGTTTTTTCAAAGTATATATTTATATGTATACGTAGTAAGTGAAATCGTTTTCTGGCCAATATTCCTTTCATTAGGTGAATGTGGATTGATGCTTCATATCACCTTTCTGTACTGAAAAATAAGTCCTGCTAACAGTGTTTTGAGGGTCTCACATCACTACGTTCCTCCGACTTCAGTTTCGACTGTTGTAACTGTTAAGTAGTTCTGTATTCTATCAGTTCCTAACCATTTTCTGACTAATAAGAAACCGTATTGAAATAAAATTTCGCATCAATGAAGTTTCTGAAAATCCGTCTGATCAAATACTTTATGGTAAATACCATCAAAAGAACAGGTTCTTTAGTGAGATAATTTTCTTTTACACTGTTCTGTTATTAGGATAGAAGCAGCATCGATAACCTTTAGAAATAGTAAATAATTTCCTTTTTCCGGTGCCAATTAATTTTGAGGTGACAAATTGTTTCTAATTTGTAAGAGAAATTTCACGCCATACTTTTCTGAATCATACAAAATGCATCAAAAATAGAAGTCACAGTCTGCATTCAATTATTTATTGTTCAATGGTGAATCCGTCAAATGATCGAGAGTTACTGTCATGATAGAAACAGAAAAAGCACAAGTTACATTTTGTATAGGTTGACGTTTTCTGTATCTTGTTTATCCAACATTCTGTATAACAGCAAAATAATAGTTTTCGGGTGTACCACTGTAAAATACTACCTGTACCCAAGATTATACTACCACTAGAATCGAAACTAAATTAATACACTATACATAGACTGGAATCACATTATGCTAGATACACAAATACACTATAAGTTAGAGAAAGCTTGATCCAACATGATTACAGTCAGTTTGCGCTTAATGAATCCTGGAGTAGGATTCAGTTATAGAAAGGAGTTCATGTAATTAATACCTGGTAAACTGACCGTCTCTCTAACTTTACTCGTTGGTCAATCGTATCCGTCACATGGAGCTTTCAAGGTCAGAGGAAAAGAGGATGGTCAAGGAACACATTACGCCGAGAATCGGGATCAGACATGAAAAGAATTAACAGAATCTGGATGGAACTGCGAAGGAGGCGTAGGACAGAGTAATTTGGAAAATGCTGGTCGGCGGCCTGTGCTCCATTGGGGATAACAGACGTGAGTAATTGTTAGTGGGACATAGATGGAATTAAAGTATGACTACGTTGCTGCGCGCTGATTGGCTAATTTCCTATCCAATCAGCGCCTGATCGATTTTTGGAGAACAGGATAGAAAATTCTCGTGTTGCTAGCTGCATACTGATTGGCTAAATCTAATCCAGTCGATCACGTGAATTACTATCCAGTAGCTTCCCATGAAAATACTATAAACTAAGCAACAGAAATTAGCTAGGAATTATTTTAGCACGCGTTACAACAGTAATGTAAATATTCCTCTTGAATAAACTTCCAGTTCAATAATTTATCATTATTTTCTTAGATAATATCTACTTCAATCAGTCTGTATTTTATATTTTCCGATTACGATTTTTTAAAATCAGTTTTCTTTATTATTTCTTTATAACAAAATAGAAACCAAAGCACAGCTAGAAGAATTAAATGAGAATATTAAATGTTCAACTAAAAAAATTCAAGCTAAACTACAATGTAAGTATACACATTTGCTTTCTGATGTACATTTTAACTCTTTCCTGTTGTTTCACTTTTATAATTTAATGATTTCCTCCGGTATAAATTTATTTTATTGTATATGTATGTTACAGTAGGATTTCGATCGAACTGACCTACATTTATACTAATAGTAATGATAATAGTTTACATATAACACTATAAATTACGATACAGTAAAATATTTTCTTCACCAATTGTTGATACCCTTTGTAGTGTATGTGCTAATAACCATGATTTCTCCATTTATTCAGTCGTAAAAAATATATTTTAGAAAACTCTTGCTAGGTTTTAAAATGCAAAGTATGTCACAAACAGAATGAATGAGTTATATGTCACGCTAACGCGTTATTTACATGCTAATAACTTGCTTGCCTATGCCTGTTACCTCCGATGGAGCACAGGCCGCTGACCAGCATTTTCTTACCTATTCTGTCCTGGACCTCCCTTCCCAGTTCCACCCAGTTGCTGTTAATTCTTTTCATGTCTGATCCCGATTCTCGGCGTAATGTGTTCCTTGACCTTCCTCTTTTCCTTTGACCTTGAGGGTTCCATGTGGGGGCTTATTTTGTGACTCAGTTGGGTGCTTTCCTCAATGTGTGTCCTATCCACTTCCAGCTCTTCTTCATGATTTCTTCCTCCACTGGAATCTGGTTTGTTTTCTACCACAGTAGGTTGTTGCTGATGGTTTCTGGCGAGTGGGTCCGTATTATTTTGCGTAGACAACTGTTGACAAACACTTGTATCTTGTGGATGATGGTTTTCGTAGTTCTCCAAGTTTTCGTTCCATGCAGTAGAACTGTCTTGACATTTGTATTGAAAATTCTGATCTTGGTGCTGGTTGATAGTTGTTTTGAGTTCCAGATTTTGTTCAATCGTAGAAATGAAACCCTCGCCTTGCTGATCTGCGCCCTTACATTCGCATCGGGTCCTCCTTAGTTGTCGAAGATGCTGCCCGGATATGTAAAGGTTTTAACGTCCTCCAAGGCATCTCCATCAACAATGATTCGGTTGGCGCATGTAGTGTTGTATGAAGAATCTTGCTTTCCCTTTACGTGTGTTGAGACCTGCTGCTACACTGTTTGTCTATTGTTGCGTGTGCGATAGAACCAGATCATCTGCGGAGTCCCTCCTGCCTTCCTCCAGATGTCGATGTCTTCATAATCCAGTCGATCCTCAGGAGAAAGAGAAAGGCCGAGAGTAGGCAACCTTGCCTGACACCGGTCTTCACCTCAAATGAGTCTGTGAGCTGTCCTCCTTGCACGATTTTGTGGTTTAATCCATCATAAGAATTTCGTATGATTTTGACTACCTCAGGCATGCCGTGATATAATAATATATTTATTCTCAAATAACAGTATGTTCCAAGAGGTGTGCAAGTTTACAGGCTAGATCAAATTGTCACAGATGCTACCACGTTTACTGCAAAAGTTATCGTAGTTAGATTAAGTATAGGAGTCTGTTTCTGATAGCACATTTACACCATTTCACTGGCAGGAACAGTTTCATACAGCCACATTCTCAATAGGTGAGTACAAATAGGGAAGGTGCACAGTAGTGTTCTTGGGTGGTTTGCATAGATCAGTAGTGAATTTGTCGGGAAAGGTTAATTTGAAAGCGCTTAATACAAGCTGTGACCTAGGCGTCCGTGTACATAAAGTGCATTTTACCTAGAGGCGCCATGGATGTTCCACTGTGAATAGGGTTCTGAGGAGATAAAGGATAGAGAGAGAAAAAAGCAGCAACGAAGCCTCCATAGCGTTGTCCTATTCACGCTATCAAATGCTTTCTCGTACTCAATGATGTTGGTATAGAGTAGTGGGTTCCATTGAATTGATTGTTCCACAATGATCCGTAATATTGCAATTTGGTGATGCTGACTGCAGCCTTTTGTTCCCTCTTTCTTGAAATTTTTTCAAGTATATCAATAGAGATCCATTTCTTGTGATGGTACTTCCTGCGACCCAGAACTTCGTGACATGTTGAAGTGATTGCTTCCTTGATCCCTTTCCAATTGTTCTCCGATGTTGCTTCCTTTCCATTGAGTATATCGTGCAAGGCCTGAAACCTATTGGTGAGGGCTATCTTGAATTCGTTGAGTTTTACGGTATCCTGAAGAAAGGCCGTATTAAACTTTTGTGATGTTGTCTGTCCCGTTGTCCAGTGCTTATTGAGTTTCAGTTTCATCTTGGTAACCAGCAAGTGATCATCTGAGGCAATATCAGCTTCTCTCGTGGTTCTCACGTCCTCCATGGTCCTTCTGAAATGTTTATTGATGCAGACAGTGTCGACTAGGTTCTGTGTAGTGTGATCCGACCAGAACCCATGTGGCTTTGTGTATGCGTTTATGTGAGAATATTGTGTGCCGCCTATAACTAGTTTGTTGAAAGCACATAGGTTTGCAAATCTCTCACCGTTTTCGTTCCTTCCTCGCAGTCCATATCGTCGCATGACGTCTTCATATTCGGTGTTGTCCATGCCAACCTTTGCATTTAGGTTTTACATCAGAATGATCAAGTCCTTTGTTGGGCGTTTTTTGACGATTGACTGTAGCTTCTCGTAGAATTGATATTTAACGTCTTCGTTTGCAGGTGCTTAGAATTGGATGACGTTCATTGTAATGCCCTCTTTCTTTATCTTGAAGGATGTTTTGATGATCCTGGGTCCATGAGATTCCCATCCTATCAGTGCCTTTTGTGCATGTTTGGACAGCATCAGTGCAACTCCTTGTGTTTGTGAAGCATTTTTCTCTTCATGACCAGAGTATAACAGCAGTTACCCTGAAGCTAGTGTCAGTTGTCCTACCTGTGTCCAATGTGTTTCATTGATTCCGACCACATCCAGGTTGTATCTTTCTATCTATGCAGCAATTAGGAATAGTCTTCCGGTTTTTGTAAACATGGATCCTTCTAGACCTGAACTATTACTTGAGCAGCAGCTGAAACTAATGCACATGTTGACAGAAATCAAGATTTCGCCTCCTACACAGCGTAGTACTTCTAATACAACCATCAGTACCATCAGTAGACAGCATCGCCAATAGCATTGCTGAGTTTCATTGTGGTCCTGATGCCAACGTTACTTTTGACATGTAGTTCTGGCGTTATGAAAACCTACTTAAATTTGATTTTGTCAGTCAAGATGATGCTTGAAAGGTTCAGCTACTTCTTCGACATTTGGGCACAAGTCTGCAGGAAAGGTACTGTAATTTGACCCTGCCTTTGAACTCCCGTGATTGCTAATTCTCGGACACAGACCAGACATTAAGTCAAGATTTCGGCGACAACTCGTCATTGTTTAATACTCTTTATCGACGCCTGAAGCTAATTATGAACGAAGACGCTGATTTTCTTGCGCATGTGGGCATCGTCAACAGTGATTTCGAACGCTCGCGGTTGAAGTCTTTGTCTGAAGACCAGTTTGAAGCTCTCATCCTCATTTTCAGCCTCTAGTCGCAAAAGTTCAGTAACGTAAGAAGTTAGGCGCTCTGATATTGTAATAATCGCCGGTGGCTTCATTGCTCATGTAGGTAGACTAAATGAAAAGGAGAGACACCCGGGTGGATCTTATGGTGTTGTGGCTCAAAGATCAGTTAATGGCGACCGTCTGCTGTAGGTGTGCTCAGACAACCGCCTATTTCTAGCAAATACTAACTTTAAGCACAAGGGAAAACACCTTTTGACATGGCAACCCCCAAAGTCGTCCCAACCCTTGACCCAACTAGATCACATCGCTATGGGCCACCGGTGGAGGGATTCGATAGAGGACTATCGCTCGTTCTGAGACACACGCTTAGATTCAGATCATGCCCTAATGCGATCACGTATTTGTTTGCGGCTTACTGGACGTAGGAAAGACACCGCAAGGAAACTTCTTAGGGTTCTACCTAATGATAGCATAGGTAAGAAAATATTTCAGCAACAACTAGAAAAAGTTAGGCGACCATGTAGTAAGTGACACCCACCCTGAGGCAGCTTGGTACGATGTCCAAAAAGCTGAGGAAACAGCAGTGATATCTACTAGTAAGGTATACCATATGGCTAGGGAAAAGCGGTGGATCTCATTAGCGTCTACCGAACTATTAGATGCTCGGAAACTCGTCCTATCTGGCTCTGAATATGACGAAGAATGGAATCAACTTAAGCACAAGCTGATTTAGATGTTTTTTTCTATTCTTAGATTTACTGTTTGTTAGAAATAGTCGAATATCTCAGCATCGCTCTAGTAGGCGTCATCATTATCAGATCTTTGAGCCGCGACATCATATTATCCACTCTGGTATTTCTCCTTTTCGTTTAGTCTATCTACTTGAGCATCAAAGTCACTAGCCATTTTTACTAGATCAGAGCGCTTATCTTTTTAAAGAAGGTGAAAATGGTTCTTGCTAAACTCATCTTTTATCTCGCCAGAGCTGCAGTCAGTGGAAGCGTCGGTAGAGACAGGAAAGAGGCAACGGCGAGTGTCCATATCTTTCCGAGTCCGTACCGTCCTGTTTAGTCGGACAGCGCAAAAGCGACTGTTTACTGGGATCCAGTCTAAGAGAGCTAGTTCTGCCCTACGACTTAATACTATCCCTACACCGGCGAGGTCATGGGAAGTAGAATCAGGGCTTCCAGCAACACAAAACGTAACCCTTGTTGATTCTCTACCTGCACAAGGTGACATCGAACTGATGATTTAGCAGATATCACCTATTGTGAGATTGGAGCTTACAGTGAACTATCGTCCTCATTTGGTAGAATAATACTTATTTCTAATTTGTCTATCCATCACTGCTGCAATGTAGCAATCCGGCTGGTAAATCCTAGATCGATTAAAACATTTCTTTTATCCCACTCCTTTTCAGAAACTAAATGTTTATTTAAAATTCGATGGAAACCCTTACTGATACCAGAGATTTTAGCGATCAAATTGTAACTGTTCACTTATTGATATAAAACTATACTCCACTTCAGTTTTGACCGATTACAAACTTACGAAGAAATGCACTTACTTTTAGATCGAATTAGATTTATTATTTTCAAATGTTTCTAAATTGTTTGATTTTTTCATTGTCCTCTTACATAGTTTGATCTTTTTTTCTGAAACCCCTAAATAGCATTGGGACAAACAATCGAAAAACAAGAAGCTACCAATGCTGCATCAGCTGATTTACGTATTCGTAAAACTCAGGTAAAAATGGTGTACTTTGTTTTGATATATTAAAGTGTTATTATGCTCATGTTTATGGTAATTTCAAACATAACAATGTTATGTATTTGGTTTGTCCGTCCACTGGTCTGTGCTTCATATGCGAGTAGAGGGTAATTCACTCAGGCAATCAAACTTGACGGAAATGAGAAGGCCTCTTGACAATTCACTTCTCAGAGGAACAAACCTAGAAACAGTGGGTACTGACCCCGCCGTTGCTATAGATGTTCATTGCAGAGGATTCTAATACTAAGATTAATCAGCTGTCTAATGTTCCCTGGTTTTCTTCCCCTATAATGGTATTGAAACTATTGATAGGTTTACATTATTCTGTAGATCATCATACCTCGTAGCCTTCGGAAATAGCATAGTTTGTGCTACCAATGCAACATGCCTCATGAGAACATGTAAATTGATAGATATTCTTTGAGGTGGCCGAAAGCTGCAACATATCTTCGACAAATATTTGGATCAGGTATCTAACGTAGATGAGAAACCGTTGTTCTGATAAATAAAATTGTATATAATTCCATACTATCACATGCTTCAATAAAGTGCTTATCAGACTTACTTTGGTGGGATTTTGAAGCACATTAGTAAAGCCGAATATTACTGGAAGTAGTGAATGTAGCAAACTTCTTTTAGCCACGAAGCGATTTGACCGAATTTCCCTCTCGCCATTTGATACTTACTCACTAAATTCTGCAATAATTTCCATCAGGTCTGTTCAAGTAAAAATGTAGTATACTTTCGGTTATCCTTTTAAAATTATGTAGTAAAATTTTTACTCTAGCACCACTGGTCAAGTGAGAACCTATGGCGAAATGTCATCGGAATTCTCTACTTCAAGTGGTGTCCGTCAGTGCTGTCCACTCTCCTCATTCTTGTTTAACTTTGTCGTAGACATCCTTTTAGAGTTTATATTATCCTCGTCAGATTTTTCAGGGGTGGACCTTCTACGAAGGGACACGCTTGCTGACTTAGAATATGCTGATGACATACTTCTTTCTGGTGAAAACGCTGACTCAATGCTGACTACCCTAAGCAAATTTGCAAGCATTTTCGTATTGCGATTCTCCCCATCGAAATGCAAAATGTTGTATCAAGATTGTATTGCGTCGGCACCTGATCCAATGATAGTGAGTGAAGTAGTTGAGCGTGTTGACCACTTCACTTATCTGGAGAGTGTATCATCAGTGCTCATGACCTGGTGTGTGATGAGATCTCAGAGCTGATTCAGAAGGCTCGATTGATTTTTGTCAACCTTCGTCACTTATTGCGTAGGCCAGCGTACTGCGCAACAGTTCACTTCGTCCTACTATACGGATGCGAAACACGGCTGGTGAGCGTAGAAGACATTCGTGAGTTATTAGTATTCGATTTTAGATGTCTTTGAGTCGTTGCACGTATATCTTCGGAAAACCGAGTGATCAATGCTATTGTTATGAATCGAGTACTAGGTAAGGATGGCAGATCAATTGATGAATTAGTGAAATTCCATTATTTGAGGTGGTTATGACAGTTGTTACGTATGCCCAACTACTGACTGCCTGTTCGAGCGATGTTTTACAGTGTAGGAATGGGTTGGAAGAATGCAATAGGCTGCCAAACCAAAACATGGAAGAGATCCATGAAGTGACTGACAAGCGGAGTGAGTGATGTTGTTAGATGTAGGCCAGCTGGTTGCGGTCCGCGAGACGATAGTATTCGATTGTTAAGGACCCTGAATTACTTGGCTGGAAACCGTTTGCAATGGCGCAGGTGTATTTATTATTTGTTTTCGCTGAAATTCTGTTTTTAAAATTTCCTGTTCTTCTCTGTCTTTCTGTTTCTAAAGTTATCTCAGTGAATTATACTTCGTGAATGTTATTTTCGAATCTTAGTCTCCTCCATTATCAGTCATACTTCTACTATGCCTAACACTAGGATTTGAACTGACAGTTGCCTCTTTGTGCTGACAACTTGAACTGATGTTCGTACGTACGAAGTTCTACGTTTTAAGTGACTTACTGAAAGTCACTAATGAGCTGACTATCATAATATAACTAATGGAGCTTTATAGAGAATCATTTAATTTATAGGTTGTATCTCATCTAATTTGGCCTAAATACCCCGGTTGCATCATTAGCCTTAACAGAAAAAGTCGACTGTGTAAATTTCAAAATTGATAAAATGATCTGCAGCAAATTATTTGAGTTCATAATATTGTTAATGATTAGTCAAAAGTAAATTACTATATATATATATATATATATATATATATATATATATATTTCAGTTAATACATAAGAATATATTATTTCTGTTAATGTTCAATCTATCAGGTCACCATATTTATAATATGTAAACAAACTATTCATATAATTCATATATAATACTACCAACTTCTTCTGAATTTCCGAATAGCATGCTGCAAACATTCACTTATTCATGGATGTTATGCACGATTATAATAGAACACAAACTGATTTTCGCGATGCTAACAAAGCTCGTATCAAACGACAATTGGAAATAGGTATGAAGTAACTTTTCAAAAAACAATGAAAAGAAAACGTGTATATGTATGTATATGTATATGTGTATATAGCTCAATTTGTTCATCTATACCGTCCACAGTTAACTCTACTCTTATTTCCTCATTCCTGTTTTTCTCTTCGTTAGTGGTTGGGTGACTTTTAACAACTAACAATAATTCACTTGTCCGTTTGTTTCATGTACCGATATCTTTAACAGATAACATTTGTATTGGGTTTTTTTATTTGGTTTATGTACGTGAAACAATAATAAGAGTCTATTTACTAGTATTTATACTGTCATTTAATTATCACTCCGTTCGATTATGAATAGCCGATTAAATAGACATGTAAAATTCATTCACTGTATTAAATAACTAATCATTTGATTTTTGAATCACCTAAACTATTGCTGTTCATAACAATATTCATTTAGTATTTCAAGTCATTAGTGTGTAAAATTTGTAAATCTAGTTCAATTGAACAGACATCAAAAATCAAAGGGCAATCGATAACTGTTTGGTTCTGGTATGCTACTCTGTAGCAGTACGCATCCATTGTCGCACTGGAAGTCGAATTTAACCTTTTAACTACCAAGTTAATATCCAGTTGTTTACATTTCTGACTTTCATTCACAATTATTTACAACCATGCTGATTGTGATTTCATACTTCGTACTTGATTCATTTGAATCTCATTAGTCAATGGCTTGTCACTAAAACTAGAGTTTACTATTTTTAGTCAGTAAATGATTAACATTAGTTTGCAGTCTTATGAAAATGGTTTGGTTCTATGATTTATATCATACTAGAACCAAGTATATCTGCCCAGCGCTTATTGTTTTTCAACAGTTTCCTAACTAAGATCGGTTCTTAATGTAAACTACAAAGTGTTCACATCTTGCACATATTTTTCTAGCTTATTTAATCCGACAGGCGTATCTGATAATCTCACAGATTGTTTATATAGAGTTATAAAAATCTGTTAAGTCATTTAATAGCAAAATACTTATAAGACAAATCTCAACCTTATCTATCAACATAAATTGCTAGTGTTGCTATTATTAGTTATCACAACGGTATGTTTTTTTTCGGTCGGCTACTTACATTACTACCTTGTTATTACCAACGTGTTGTCTATAATGTTAATTTATGTTTTAACGTGGGCGTGATATTTAGTTACCTTTTTATATTGGGTGTTATTTAGGAATTTTATGTAAATTGATGTTTACAGGACAACTCATTAACTATTAACAACTGGTAAATAAGTATTTCAGTCACTTTTATTACCGAACTCTCAGAGTTGCCATTCACTGAATTTGTAAAGTTTAACGATTAACAAAATTTTTTATTTACTTATATCATTCTCTTATTATGGTTATTATTTCTTTATGGATCATTTTATTCATGTTATTCTTTGCGTTATAAAACATTCTACCTTTTTTATACTATACAGTTTGTCACTTTGTCTCAAACTATCACCACTACTATGCATCAATATGGTCGTATACAAATTGAGTATAAAGAACGTTGTAAAGCATTGTTGAAACGTCAATTAGAAGTTGGTGAGCCTATTGTGTTTATATATATATATATATATATATATATATATATATATATATTCAGAATAGCAACGAAAATAATTTATTTTACAGGAATCAGTGCTATTCTTAACCCATGATTGGCTTTAAAATGCACATTTTTATGTGTTCCATGTCAACAGTTTCCACGTATACTGGGCTGGTACAGTGTTACAAAATCATCATTGATGATACGTCGTTTGAAGTATAAAGAAGATAATCTCTCATTGAAATATGTTGGCATCTTTGAAATGTGTCATGATCAACTCTAAAAAAATGCACGGATATTTCCCCGGCATGGTGGTCGCTCTTGTCTGTGGTGACGACCCAACTGAGGTATATTACCTAGAACACCTGTTCCTTTAGATCTAGCCATGCCAGACAGGTCGATTGGAGAACGCTAAAACTAAAAGCAGCAATTTAAGGTCTGAGAGCAAAGCTGTACTGCTGACTGTAGAGGCGTGTGACATCAGTAAGGTGTTTCCCTCGGACAACCATCATCTGCAGCGATTCTGACTTCTCACAAGGAAGGAAGGGTTTTGGAAAAGTTCGACCCTGAGTGTGACACCTTACCTTAACCCATGGATTTCCGTCTCCGGCGCTAAGGCATTTTGAAAATCGGAGCTAACACTTCTACGCATAGAGACGGATCGGATATTTTCCACTTTTTTGCGATTAAAACAGTGAGATAATCATCTGAAGCAAAATGAGAAAAGAAAACTTTGATTGTAAATAATTTCTATTTTTTTCATCCCTTCTCTTCGTCTCTCTCACTCCATATTTACTGTCATCACTCTATTAATTTGTACTTTTTGAATCCACTGTTATCGCTAACTAACTTTGATTGGTTTATCATTTCATACATACTTATAAATATTGGTTATGTATTTAACTAAAGTCTGGTGAAGATCTATTTGAAACTAACACTATTCGCTTATGTCTCCGTTGTTTTAATTCATGGATTGGTGTCAGTGATCAAAAATCTCATGGCTATTCTTATACTTCATAGTTACCGATGTAATGACTAGTTTGTTTTGATGTTTTTATTTCTTCCTCATATATAAATGATATATTACGATTTTTCACAATAACACTTGATTTGTTCAACATGGTGTTTTTTCAAATTATACATGTGTGTTTTGTTTCTCATAATATTATTATTGTTATTTTAAACGCCATGTCAAACTTTGAAAAGCAAACAATGATTTATTTTAAAAATATTTACGATCAATATTTCCCTCATTTATTTTCGTTCTTTTTTGCTCCAAGCAGTGTTTGATTAAATAGAAACATTCGTATGAAATTTTCACCATAGAGTTGTGGAGATATTTGAGATTCGTTAAAATCATAAATCGATCAATGTTAGGACGCCATTAAAAACCTAGAATCACTGGACGGCCCTGTCGTCCTAGTATAGGACTCATCAACGATGCGCATCCACAACCCCCGCTGGAAGGAGTCGAACCCAGGACCTTCGGTCTGGTTCTATGAGGTGGATGAGGTCGCGCAAGACCGTGAATTTATTAAAATTTGGTTTTAACACCGTTAAAAGGCAGCTCAGTGGTCTAGAGGTTAAGGGTTCGCGCGCAGGATCATAGATCCTGGGTTCGACTTTCGCGAGGGTGGCTCGTGGCTATGCACTTTTGATGAGTTTCATGCCAGGAAGAAAGGGTTGTTCAGTGTTTCCACGTTTCCAATGGTATCTTGATATTGACTGATTCATGATTTCAGTGTAATTCCTATGAGCGTCAGCTATAAGCCATTAAGCATTATCTTCAACCTACTGAGACTTACACAAATAGGAATAGTGTCTTATTACTGTATACACAACGGATGTGATTAGTAACCATTCTATGTACATAGACGCATAAATACTACTTTTTGTCTAATAGTCGATCAGCTTCAAACTATCCTTCCCCCCTAGCTATAAATCTTAACTTATTACATAATATAAAAACAATGAATGGAAAGAGTTAACGGTACCACTTAATAATCTAGAGTGTATTATTAGCATAAAAATTGGTTAACAAACAACTGATGTGGAAATTGTGAGAACAATCAGAACTGAGTTCAACGTCTAATTTCTTCAAAATTAACATGCATGAAGTTGATAAGTTCTAATCTGTATTTTGTTATTGTAGTGAATACTTTAACGATTTGATGTGTGCGATATGTGAATATGACTCTGGAACTCTCCAAAAACTAACTTAAAGCAAGGATAAAATTATTACCCGTAATGCTACTTGCAGATATCTTGATAAAATGTATCATGATTTTGACAGTCTATGGAAATAGAAATGCTAATCTTCTACTTTTGATTTTGGTATATATACTATGTCCCATTGTTGTCAATTATTCAAATCGTAATGTTTTCAACGTTGTCAATCGATTATACTGTGTTCATTCTAATAAAAAGCAAATCATTTCAACATCTGTTAGTAAAAGCTAATCAAAACTTGAATAGTATTTGTTTGCAATTTTCATTTCAGTCTTGAAAAATATCAAGAATCAAAGTTGTTTGAAAATCTATATTTTATATAAAATTAGTTGAAAAGTGTGCATCAATACATTAGTAGATACTTATGAATAATTAAATTCTTCAGTATAATCATTATACTATGCTGTATGATCCCACATATATTGCTACTAAAACAAGCTTTAATTTGTTTAGCTACACCATAACTCAATTATGTAAAAGTGTCTTAGAATGACAAAATTTCAAAGCTAAATAATTAATATTCAAGGATCACTATTTCAATACACAAATGTTATATTTAAATAACAATTTACACCAGACCTACGTACTGTTCAACAAGATTTTTAATTAAATGTGAACATTGAGATTTTACTGTTGTTATTGTATGGCATTAGGAAGTTCCTTCACCGTCTCCTTATGTTATAAATTTTTCTTCAAGTTCTAAAAGTGTAATTGTTTTTTTCGTCTTCCAATAGCTCAACGGTCAGTTACGGATGATGAATTGGAAAATATGCTTGAATCTGGAAATGCACAGATTTTTACCCAAGGAGTAAGTACATTTCTCCATTACATACACATATACGTATTTCTATCATGAAATACTTAAAAGTTAATGATAAATTGAGTATCCTAATCATATTAATCTGCCACTTCACTGGTATGCAGACTATATTATCTCTGTTATCTCTTTTAGGTAGGGAAAGGTACTATATTTATAAACAGTGATAAGTAAAAACTTCATATTACAGTGACTTGATAGTTTAGTCAGTCGCAAGTTTGAACTGCATAAAACCTTCATAGGTACATGGGATTTAACCTTAGCATAGTTTTCAACCGATAGGTGACATTTAAACACCATTTTATTTAATTCGGTTTACGTAACGTGTAACTATCAGTTAACCCGAAACAACTCATTATTGAAAGCCTAGTACGTCGATATGTAATCGGTAAATATATTGCTTTACTTTACCCTTGGTTTAAACTAATTCTGTAAGTTCGAATGCCGCACCATCTACTTTCATATGAGCAATCTCATCCGAATAACTGTAGTTAAAATCGGTATGCATTACTACTTAGCTATACCCACTATACTTCTTAAGTTAGACCAATCATCATGTATGACTGCTCAGGATAAGAGTTTTTTTTTATCTCACTATGATTAGATTTCATGTTTACCCAAGGTACGGGATTGAACTTTATTCTGTATCAGATTATTTGGGAAAATCATCGTAACCACCATTCACCCACAACTAGTTATTCTTCTGGTTGTGTACTAATTGTAAATTGTCCAGTCTTCCTATATCACAATTTATCTTCATATCCATTCGTACATAAAATAATATTATGTAGCAGAAGCTTACTGCATTGAATTCTCAGTGTTTTAACATAAACAGTGTTATGCTGATACATCTGTCTGTGAGTAGTGTCGAATAGGATGAAACACGCTTCCAGGATTCCACTAATAATATCCAAAATCCATCTGTTCTACAAAATAAAAACCTGCGGTTCTTAAGGGTTTATTAATCAACTCGATAATCGAAATGACCCTACTTTTACCAAAGAAAACTAATCGATAATTCTTATCCAAATCTTTTCTTATTCTTGTCTAATCATAAACCACAACTGTATCTATAAAGCTGGATAAAATAAGGGTTGTATTCTAAAGTTAACACTTCCTGTTTGACTAAAATAATAACTTGTGTAAAGCGAACTATTTGCCTATAATTGTATCATTATTACATTGTCTTGTGTAAAAGTTGTAATAACGATTGTTAGGTTGGTTACTATAACATTCTTATTTATATATCAGTCATTCAGTTACAACGTAGAACTTCTCATCTAAGTACAGAAGTTCAGGTTGCCGTACCACATTAGCACACAGACGCAACTGTCATTTCAACTCCCATAGTGGTAGCGATAATAGTAGAATAAGCGGTAAAGGAGAATATAAGGGATCGAAGATATCATTCGAGATGTATAGTTCAGTGAGATAACTTGGGAAAGAGAAACATAGAGATCATTAGGAAATCAAAAGGTTAGGATTAGAGAGAATACAAAGAGTGGATGAACCTGCGCCATTGCAAACGATTTTAAGTCATCTAGTTCAAGGCCTTTAACCATCGTTGAATTTCGTCTCACGGACCCCAACCAGGTAGCCTACATCTACCCCCATGACTCAGTCCACTTGTCAGTGACTTCATGGATCTCTTCCATGTTTTGGTTTGGCAGCCTATTGCATTCTTCCAACCCATTCCTACACTGTAAAACATCGCTCGAACAGGCAGTCAGTAGTTGGGCATACGTAACAACTGTCATAACCACCTCAAATAATGGAATTTCACTAATTCATCAATTGATCTGCCATCCTTACCTAGTACTCGATTCATAACAATAGCATTGATCACTCGGTTTTCCGAAGATATACGTGCAACGACTCAAAGACATCTAAAATCGAATACTAATAACTCACGAATGTCTTCTACGCTCACCAGCCGTGTTTCGCATCCGTATAGTAGGACGAAGTGAACTGTTGCGCAGTACGCTGGCCTACGCAATAAGTGACGAAGGTTGACAAAAATCAATCGAGCCTTCTGAATCAGCTCTGAGATCTCATCACACACCAGGTCATGAGCACTGATGATACACTCTCCAGATAAGTGAAGTGGTCAACACGCTCAACTACTTCACTCACTATCATTGGATCAGGTGCCGACGCAATACAATCTTGATACAACATTTTGCATTTCGATGGGGAGAATCGCAATACGAAAATGCTTGCAAATTTGCTTAGGGTAGTCATCAACATACTCTATATCAGCAAGCGTGTCTCCTGGTAGAACACCCACTCCGGAAAAGTCAGACTAGGATAATTTTAACTTTAAAAGCATACATACGACAAAGTTAAACAAAATTGAGAGAGTGGACAGCTCTAAAGGAGACCACATTATATTAGTTGAACTGATACCTTGTTGATTGACACAAGAGGACTTTTTTCCTTTCTTATAGACAGGGACGATCAGCAATTGAGATCAGTTGAACAGATCTCTAAAACCGGTTTCCTTGATAAGTTGGAACGATTGTCTACTGATACCTATCATCGCTGCCTTTTCCATCGCTCTCGGCTTCACTACCCACCACTGTTCGTGGTCGTTGCGTAGGCTTCTTATCAGCTTGCGCCTAAGCTGTCTTCGCTCTTCGTCAAGTTAAGATTTCTGTGGGATGAGTTTCTGAGTGTAGAAAGGATTTGATTATGACCAATTCGGTCTGGTGTGTTGGTACTCGTATGAGGGCGGATGTCAATTTCCGGCTGCCCACACCTTAGAAGTGTGTTTCTTGAGGAACCTGAAAAGGAAGGTAGGTTTTGGTCGGTCTTAAACCCGTGGGGGCGTGACCGCTGAGCTCAAGGGACAACTGCTTGAGGCCGGTCACTCTCGGCCTTTTTATGGATAGTATTTAAATTTTTAGCTCTCTTCTTATTTTAAGTGGCCTTACCGCCCTAGACAGACATCCTTGTGGTAAGATCTGGTGTGACATTTTTAGGTTCGACCTTTTCCATCCCCTTGTGAGAAGGCAGCATCGCTGCAGATGCTGGTTGTGTGAGGGAAACACCTTACTGCTGTCAGATCCCTCTACAGTCAGCATTTCGACTTCGCTCTCAGACCATGACTAGCTACTTTTAGTCTCATCGTTTCCCTAATAGACCTGCCTGGAACATAAGTTGCAGCTAATATAGCTTGGTTGGTTCGTCACGATAGACAAGCCTGACAACCACATCAACGTATCAGTTACTGTCGGGATATATGTATATTCAGGTGACAGATTACATAATATTGGTTACATAAGAGAAAAGTGATGTATATTAGCAGTACATAGGAATACCAAAGATAAAAGGAATGTAGATGGGAGAAGAGTGTAAATATTGTTTCCATTCTCTCCGGTATAGTTTATGTCGATGACTTATGTATAATGTGGAGCTGTTCACATTTTTATGACATTGAATGGAATACAATTAATAACTTGGAAGTCCTCCTGATATGTTCAGTGTTATTAAAATGAATCATCAGTAATAGTGCTCTTATCATCCTTCATTGTTCTTTACTCAATCAAACCAATCGAGCTTTCTGTATCTCAGCACGGTTATAGAAAACTCTATTGGCTTTTGCTAGTTTGCGTCATTTATGGCATAGGCGAGATATCCGTTTGCTGGCCAAAGGACGAGTGTACTGCGCAGTAGTTCGCTCCGTTCTCCTATATGTATGCGAAACATGGCCAGTGAGAGTAGATGTTCGTAGGTTACTAGTATTCGATCATAGATGTCTTAGAAGCATTGCTCGTATATCGTGGGACAACCGAGTAAGCAATGCTGTCGTTAGGAAACGAGTACTAGGTAAGGATGGCAGATCAATAGATGAGATGGTGAAACTTCATCAGTTGAGGTGGTTGGGACATGTATTACGAATGCCTAACCACCGACTGCCTCGACGAGGCTATGTTTTGTGGTGTAGGAATAGGTTGGAAGAAAGTTAGGGGCGACCAGATCAAAACATGGCATAAATCGATGAAGTCACTGACAAGCGGACTGAGTCATGTTGGCTAGCTTGTTGCGGTCCGCGAGACGTATGCCACCAATAGTTAGACACTTTGAACGACATGGCTCAAAATCGTTTGCAATGGCGCAGATGCATCCACTCTTTGCTTCTTTCAAATTCTTACCTGAATCCGTCTACACCTCTACCTTTGTCTTTCTAAACTTATCTCATTGAGTTATATTTTTTGAATAATATCTTCGAACCCTAATCTTCTACATTAGCAGTAATTCTTCTACTATCTTTACAACTGTGGGATTTGAACTGACAATTGCGTCTCTGTGCTGATGTGGCATGGCAGTCAGTCAGTCAGTTGCAACGTAGACCTTCGTACACAAGTACATCAGTTCATGTCGTCATACTACATCAGCACAGAGATGTAATTGTCAATTCAAATCCAATAGTACAAGAGTTAGTAAGGGTGTTAGAAGTAATCGGAGAGGTTAGGATTAGAAAATATTATTCAAGAAGTATGATTAAATGAGAAAAGTTTAGAAAGTTAAAACTAGAGGTGTTGAAGAATCCAGAAGATTAGGATTTGAGAGAACACAAAGAATAAATGCACCGTCGCCATTGCATGGCAACTTGAACTGATGTACTTACGTACGAAGTTCTACGTTCTAACTGACTGACTTAATCAAACCGGATATTGTTTGACGATAGGATGACATACTCACGGAACTATGCACTCTATATAACTGGTTTCAAAAAGGTAGATTTATTGATAAACACATAGTGTGATACAGTCAGCTTATTTACCTTTGTTTTCGTCTTTAATCACTGAACAGTTTCAAAATACAATATTCAGCTTCGTTGTTGCGATTATTTACTGTAATATCTTTCTTAACTGTTGTAATGAATGCCTCACGAGTATTATTGTTTTTTTTCCCGGGTGCATTTACTAACTGATTTATAATGTATATTTTTAGCATATCAATTTTTACAGAACGTTTGGATTTGTTTTCTTTTTTCCATGATTTGTAATTCGTCTAGATTATAACAGATACACAACAAGCTCGTCAAAATCTAGCCGATATTGAAGCGCGTCATGAAGATATCATGAAATTAGAAAAGAGTATTCGAGAATTGCATGATTTATTTGTCGATATGGCTGCATTGATTGAAACACAAGTTTGTTAATTACATACTAAATTTACAATTTTTTGTTTTCGAGTCTAGTTGTTAAGCAAGCGTAATCTAAAACTCTAATCTATCAAATCTTAAAATACCATAAGAAAACGTGATCAATGGAGTTCAACCATTTCGGTTGTTGGACAGTTATCCACCGAAGACAATGAATGAGGTTGCGGAAAACCGTGAATTGATTAATGTTTGGTATTAACACCATTGGATGCCGGCTCAGTGGTTTAGAGGTTAAGTGTTCATACGCCAGACCGAAGGTCCTGGGTTTGATTCCTGTGAGGGTGTGCCGTGGCTGCGCTCTGCTGATGAGTCCCATGCTAAGATGAGAGGGCCGTCGATTGCTTCTAGGTTTCTGATGATGCTCTAACATTTATAGATCTATGATTCCAATAAATGAATAGTGTTTTTCAGTCGATCTACTCTGGTTGCTATCAGTATAATAAAATATTCAATCTATTGGATTCCGAAGCCTTCTGTGCCCTAATCATCACTTTAATAGATAAAAGTATCAGAGTTGTGATGAACAATACTTATCACTAACCTTACAAATTAATTAAAAAGACTAGCAAGTTGACAATAGTCGTAAAAGATAAAATAACCAACATTTCACTTTCAAACTCTGTCGTCAATTTTTATTGACCAGATAATTACTCTGTCAGTTTTTAAAGTTTAGGTATTATTTATAACTGTCCAATTGTAACTTTATTTTCCTAATTCAATATCATTTTTAGTTTTATCAATCATGAATCTCTGTCAGTATGTGTCGTTGAGTAAAGTACTAAAGAATTTCATATTTAGGACTGATCTCTTATTGTCGTCACTAACGGTCAAAAAACACGATTTGTTAGTTTAATGAGTTATAAACCTGCTCCTCAAATAATTTCATTAAAACAGCGCTGTCTCTATGTATTTGTACCTTCCAACGGTGTCAGTTAAGATAATACTAATGTTTTATTGAAAATGTATTAAATGTGTTCCGAGAGATTAAGTGTACTGAATAGCAACGTTGTTACTGGTAACTTTGAATTAATAATTATGGTGAATACATATTAAAGAAATTACAAATCATTAGCATTCCCTCAAAAACTACTCTTATTTATTAGTAAGAGTTTATATTTTCTCGTTGTTGATATTCAGCACTGTGATTGATTAGTCTTTATATATCGTGGTTAGTAGTTGAATTCAAGACACCGGTTTCATCTAATCCACCACTCATCATCTAGATGTACCTTTATTCTAATTATATCATACAGTGATTTCGACCCAGTATTTATTGTTCAGTACCTGATACGTTATCTAATAACCTACTTAATCCAGTTAAGGTGACTTATTCAACCGGTATTTTGTGATTAGTAAGTGTTTATATTTTCTTGATTGTTAACATTCAGGAATGCACTACTGGTCTCTCGGTTTAAAGACTGCGATTATTTATACTTTGTGTTGTTCACTGTCAATAAATAATCTATTTTAACAAATTGTCAAGAACTACATTAAATTTTCATCTCTGTGATTTATGTATATAGCTATTCTACATATGTAATCATTATTACTTATTTTCTATGCAATAATTAATATGCAGGGCGAACTTGTTGATCGAATCGATATTAATGTTAAACAAACACAAGATTATGTCGCTGAAGCTCGACAGGAGACTAAAAAAGCTGTTATATACAAGAAAAAATCTCGAAAAGTAAGTTTGTCTCCAACTCTCATATCTGTGCATCGATTTTCTTTTATAAAACTTAAAAGTAATTAACCTTTTTTTGATAATCCGACAGATTTTAATAATTGGATAAGTGATATTATCGGAAGATTTGTTTGGAGTCAAACAAAAAAGCTGAATTCACTTATTTTAGTTGCTTCGATTTTCCCGTCGTTGATTTTAAGGTCTCCAATCAATCAATATCTTGGCGGTTGGCATCTTATCTCTATTGCTGACGAACCACTGACAGAATGAACTACGGATCTCGATTTTACTGCTACGTATAATTTAACTGTGCTTAAAATACCAGTTTGTGTTCAAGTACCAATTCATATAGCACAGATGAAAACTTCTTTATTCCATTGCGACATTCACCAGATACATTTTATTAATCTTATCATTCAAATACTCTGCAAGCTGGATAACTAGTGATAATACTACTACTTGTATATTCAAACCGATATAGTTAGGGATGAGGCCTAAGGGGATCCAAATGTAAGGCTCAATGACTGAAAGCTTGACACAACCAAGGAAAAATTGTCCCACTATATTTTCGAAAAGTATATTACAGTATTTTAGATTAAAATGAAGCACTTGTTATCAATCTTTGCCTGTACTCATTTCATATGAGTTTTGAAGTCGAACGAAAGCTTATAATTAGTAAAATTATGAAGTAATATTGTAAGTTAATTTATTTAAAGTACATATCTACTGGATTCCTTAAAGGAAATAACTTTCAAAACTTAGCAATTCTATTTTCAAATCCTAACATCAATTATAGTTAATTAGCTTTTTTTTTATACTTCAGGTGTTAATTATCTGTTTTATTGTCTGTCAGTTAATTATTACGTAGCTATAATACATCTCTATGCTTTATAAAATAATATTAGTTTTGTTTTGTTATATAGTAACTATTTAATTATTGATAGTCGTGGGAAGCGAAATCATATAATTCTGAACTAAAACTAAATTGACATTAAATCGAAAAAGATTGAATCCAAAATGTTTGGATTTAGAAAGATTAAAATACATTAAAATCGTTAACCAATCATTGTTAAACCACCATTAGAAACCTGAAAGAACTGGACAGACGTTTCGTCATAGTCTGCGACTCTTCGGCAGTGCGCACTCGCGATCCCGACAGGTGTGGGCAGTAACTATCGAAAACAATTAGGTGAGGTTGAGCAAAATCCTTAGATTGATCAAAGTTATACATTAATACCATTGGATGCCGACTCAGTGGTATAGAGGTTGAGCGCTCGCGTGCGAGAACGAAATTCCTGGGATTGATTTCTGCGAGCCGGCGTCGTGGAGGCGCACTGTTGAAGAGTCCCATACTAGAATGAAACGGCTGTCCAGTGCTTCCAGGTTTCTGATAGTGGTCGAACAATAATTGATTCATGATTTCAATGTAAAACAACAATCTCCATAACTGTATAATGAAAAAAAGATTAATTTCGGTGTGAGTATTATACCTACTTAACTTAATAGACAGCCTTTATAGGATTGTGCAAATAGTTTTAACAAAATAAAATCCATTTTTTAGTCACTGATACTGCAGTTCATCTAAATCAATAATTTTTCACATAAAATCTTTAAAACGAGTGATTAAAAGTTTGCCTTAGGATCAGGATTGACAGCCAAGTTAAAGAGGAGTAGTAGTGGTTAGGCGTTCAAATTAATGATTATGAATAGTGTAAACGATACTTTGTAGCCAATATGGACAAATAATTATGCAATTATTTCTTTGATTTTATCATATCAAGAACCTTCAAGCTACCCATGATAAACCATAAATTTTAACTCCCTAATTTAATTTTTCCCATGTAATCAATCTTAGACATTTTAGTAAATAGAATATTGGTAGTTTTTCTATTTATCTTTACACTGACCAGTACCCAGTGATGACCTTTGAGTTACCAATGCACAAAAATGACGAGAGAACTGCTACTTTATGCTCTGAGATTGGCTCAACACTAACTTACCTAGGACTCAGAAGAAGTACTCAAGACTAATGACCACCATTTCAAAATTTTTATCATAATTTAGATATCCATTTATGAGATGATATAGAAAATTTGTAGCTTAAATGGATGATTATGAATGAGTTTCATTCTCTGAGCTGGATGTTTTGATTTTGAAGCTTTCATTATTTAAACATCTATTTATCTACATACGTACCCAGACTGCACAGCATGTCGATTAAATCATAGTATTAACATGAAACAGTCAGTCATTCCAAGCTGCCTCCGGATGATTGCCTAACTGTATTTCTAGTTGTTCCTGAAATATATTCATAGCTCTGCTATCATTAAGTATATAACCCTAAGAGGTTTCCTGGCGGTGTCTTTCCTACATCCGGTAAGTCGCAAACAGATACGCGTTCGCGCTAGAGCATGATCTGAATCTAGACATGTGCCCCAGAATGAGCGATAGTCCTCTTTCGAACCTCTCCATCGGTGGCTCATAGCGATGTGATCTAGTTGGGTCAAGGGTTGGGACGACTTTGGGGGTTGCCATGTCAAAAGGTGTTTTCCCTTGTGCTTAAAGTTAGTATTTGCTAGAAATAGGCGGTTGTCTGAGCACACCTACAGCAGACGGTTGCTGTTAACTGATTTTTGAGCCACAACACCATAAGATCCACCCGGGTGTCTCTCCTTTTCATTTAGTCTACCTACATGAACAATGAAGCCACCGGCCATTATTACTATATCAGAGTATCTAGCTTGTTGGAGGAGGCCCAAAAGCTGTCTGTTAAACTCATCTTTCACATCGTCTGAACTGTTGCCCCATTTGACCCAATGTCCGTAAATTAAATGCTCCAACATATAGTTTAGAATGGCATTTCAGGAGAGTAGTAATAACGTTTCGGGAACTCGCATCGTTTGCAGCAGAGTTTGGGGGATGATGAAGAATTTTGAGAAGAGTTAGTCGTGAAGATAAGGGGGATGTTAGGTGGTGTAGGAAGGATTTGATTGTGACCAATTTGATCTTGTGTGCTGTTATGGGTCTGAAGGTGGTTGTTACTTCTCGGCTGCTCACACCGTGTAAGGGTGTTTCTTAAGGAACCTGAAGTGGAAGGTAGATTTTTGTCGTTCTGTTATGTTCATCACTAGATACGCTTGACGCTATTACGAGTTCACCTTAGTCGATAAACGCGAACGAGACAATTACTAGCGTCCAGGTAGGCTACCTTGAATCCCAAGCTGTAAACAGAAGGCTTTGTAAGCGTAGAAAGTATATTCTATAAACACACAGTAATCACAGTACAATCAAGCACACAACTCTCGTTTATTTATACATCATAGAAACGTCCTTGGGATGGTTACGAAAATAGCACACTAAAATACACAGCAGCCAATCACAGCCATGGATTTCCCTGGTGGGAAATTAAACCTCAAGGTCAACTGATCAGCCCATGCTCACAAACGTGAAATCCAAGATAAGACATTTGTTAAGCGAGTTCTGGGGATCTAACATCCCCAACACGTCTGAGACACCTGGGAGCGTGACGAAAGAGGCCAATCGACAACTGCTTGAGGCCGGTCACACACGGCCTTTTGGTCAAAGATTTTGAGAGTATTAGCTCCGTTCTTTTTAAAAGCTCATATTGGGCAGTCCTTACCGCCAGACACGATATCCGTGAGGAAGATAAGGTGTGACATTTTTAGGGTCAACCTTTTCCAACCCCTTCCTTCCTTTCTTGTGAGAAGGCAGCATCGTTGCAGATGATGGTTGTCCGAGGGAAACACCTTACTGCTGTCACAACCCTCTACAGTCAGCATTACGACTTCTCCCCTAGACCTTGAGTTGTTGTTTTCAGTGTCATCGTTCTACAATCGACCAGCCTGGCATGGTAAAACCTAAAAGGAAATATGTCGCAGCCAACATAGCTCGGTTTGTTTATGACGATGGGCAAGCGTTACCACAACGTCAAGGTAGCAGTTAACATGAAACAATAATAATAATGTGAAAAATGAATTATAATCGGTCCCACTTTTTTGAATGGTAAATGATATAGCATTAATTTAGTGCTCAAATAAAGGCTTGGAACTAGGGTAATCCAGAAATAATGAGATCAGAATACTCAATAAATATGCTATTATACTAATAAACAAACAAAATCTTTGAGGAATAGGCTCAAAAGTTTGTCACCTCCTACTTAAATCGTCCCTTACAACAGTTTCTGCTTATGTTTGAACAAGATCCAAGTTATCTGTCACTGCGTCTTAAATTTCGTACAACATCCCTATAGCCGCTCTACTCAACTTTGTTAGTGAATCATAACTTTTTACCGATTAGTATTACCCATATATTTGCATTATATTATTTTTTTGCATGTTTTAGCAGTGAAAAACTGCTCACATGTTACTCTTAAACTCTTCCTTTACATTATTAGCTATAGATTTGCTTAATGGTTTGAATATTCAGCCTTTTGAGAATAGCGAAACTACTTACACTATTGAACTATCATGACCACTGTATAAAGTGTATGGTTTAAATTCAATTATTTAATTTTACATTACCTTGCACTAAATTGCCCATATTTTATATAACGTTTTTTATTTTAATTATTCATCTAAAATACTGTTTTTCTTTGGTGAACTAGTGGATCTATGGATAAGTCTCAGGTTTGAACTTGCATCCATTTAGTTCTATTTAGGCAGTCGAATAGTGTGAATGACCTTCACAGCATGACTTGAAGCCATGTACATGACTATCGCCACATGATTATCGAGATAAATAAATGATGATATATTACTAGAATAATATAATCTTCCATTGTGCATACAGCTCGATAACCTAGTACTTCACATTCTGTGCAAAGATACATATCTATTTTTTATTCAAGCTGTTTTAAGGGTAATGCAAGATTCAATTGTTTCTCTTCGAATTACCATATTTCTATTTCGTATTTCTCACTCGTTAAGATTCATTGTCTCTAATGTACAATCAATCAATCATTTGTTCAGTTATTCGTAATGATAATTCAACATTTATTATCGATTTTCTGTCGTCATTGTTGTTATTATTATTATTCTTATTATTGTTGTTATAATTCTTTACGGATCTTTTAATTATACAATGTTATCGTGTTCAATGTTTTCGGCTTACTGTTTGTGTATACAAGTGTTCATTTAATTGTTTATTGTTAGAAAACAATAAAATGTTTACATTTTCATATATATGCATATATCTGTATGAAATATAGGGTGTTTTTTTTTTATTCATGTATCCGGTTTCGTTACACACTTTGTCCTGTCCATTTTGTATTCTGATATAATATAATTATGTAATTACAAAAAATGTCAATATTTGTCTTTAGATTTTATCATTCTTATTGTTGTTTCTATCGATTATTTGCATGTTTCCATGCTTGTTTACCATATTATTATTATTATTATTATTATTATTATTATTATTATTATTATTATTATTATTATTATCATAGAAGTGTTTTAACAGCAGAAATTGTATTTGAATAAAAGATATATATATATATATATCAGTGTTGCGCTATTCAATACTTTATTTCACCATTTTATCATGATCATTATTCACCTTCAAGAAGTTAACTGTTTAACATTTAAATAAAAGTCATGCATTACATTACAGTTGATTTTGTTCGAATAGATAAAGGAATAACTTAGTGAATCTAACGAAGTAATTTACTTACAGAACTGATTTTTAAATTATGATAGAATTTCTGAATCATTATAAACATTAATTACTTAAATAACAGATTAATTTAATATTTTTGATTAGAATAAGGAATCGATTGTTGTTCGACCACTATTAGCAACTTGGACGTCAGCTCACTGAAATCAATCCCAGGAATTTCGTTCTCGCGCGCGAGCGCTTAACCTCTATACCACTGAGTCGGCATCCAATGGTATTAATGTAATAATGTATAATTTTGCTCAACCTCATCCAGTTGTCTTAATTAGTTACTGTCTAGACTCGATACAGTTGAACTTCACTGGTCATGGCTTATCTAGCAATAATCGATTCATGATTTCAATCAAAATCCATAACTCTATGATGAATAATTTAATATTGTAAAATATACTTTTTGCCTGTTCTATATGTTTTATGTCAGTGTACTTTTGTTATTGTTAACCAGTTTTTCGTCGAACAAGATTGAATAAGTATGTCTGTGAGCAATTGATTTCACCTTTACTCAAGATATTCAATGCTTGTTGCGTGATTGATCAGTTTAAAGGGAAAATAATTGATGCATGCATGACAGACGTCAGGAAAAGATTAATGATATGAGCCATGAACTTTAATACTTTCATATGTTTTCGTCCAACTTCATATCATCTTTGACCTACTATATGTTTTACTTGAATTATTGTGTGGTTTTTACTCTATTTAATGAATAGATTATTTGCAGATTATATTCGTTACACATAGATCTCAGTTGACACAGCACTGGTCAGCTATTTCATCTCAGTGTGGGATATGATACTCCCGCAGTGTGTACCCATGACACCAACATGAGTTTGATTTAAGACTCAATTATTATGCATCTCATGGTCTTGGATTGGAATATTGATTGCATTGTGTTTACTCATTGCTCGAGGTTGTCATACTAGGGCAAAAACATTTGTTCAGTGCTCCCTGATTTCTAATCGTTCCCAAACTATGATCAATCTATGACAAATATAACCTACAAATAATTGAGCTACTACTGAATTTGACATTCTAACATTTTTATAATATTTAAATATCTAAAATAATCAAAAATGCTTAATCAACTGATCACCTAATCATAAATCATTTAGATATATATTTCAGCAAAAGCTGTCTCTTCTCTATGTCCATATATATTATCCTATAATTGTTAGTCAAAATTGTTCTTAAATGTAAAACAACAGCATCCGCTATGACTGAATTTCTGTACTACCGTTTAAATTGTAAGTTAACTTGGAAATATTCAATAATCTAAGTTCACTTATGCGTAAGCGGTAAAAATGTCAACGGTGAAATAATTTCATCTGACTAATATTTCATCGTTTATGTGTCATCAAGTTGTTTCACTTGTCTCAATTGTATCACTACAATCTAGTTTGATATCACCGTGTGATATCAATAATACTCTAACAGTAAGTTTGTATGTTTTTTGTTAAAATAATCTCATATTACAATGACTGTATTAATTATTTACAACCAATAAATATTGGATTTTGCAAAGATATAGTATAGTATGGAACTGCAATATATTGAGTGTATCATTTGAGTAAGACGCTTACTCATTTTTATTGATAACAAACAATGTGATGAGTAGAACTGACTTTATAAAAATATTTATGGATCGTTGAATTCTTCCCTATTCGATAATCTAAATCCATAGTGTTCATTGTGTATATGATAGTCGAAAACTTGTGACCTGGTTATTCAGTTTTCTATGTGATTCAGTGTTTTTTTCTCTTCCGGATAATATCAGTTTGTTACAATATAAAAAAGTAATTCGAAATTTTCTTGTTTTGTTTGTTAAATAAAATGCTTTATTCAATAATTCTAACGATATTTCCTTTTTTTTCTATCCGTTTATTTCTTTTATACGTCTCACTTTTGTGATCACCATCTTGCCAATCGTGTATTTGTATGCATATTTTGTTAAATGTGTATTCATTTCACACTAATTTCTTACCAACTGTTGGGGATGGCCTGGTGTGTATAATCAAAACAGAAAAAATTCATCATCATTGGAGTTTGTTGTGCTATTGTAGTAATCATAATAATAATTGTTATTGCCACAGTTGTACCTAAAAAATAATAAAACACTATCGATTCCTTCAAACAATATCTTGTCAACTGTGAATTCTCAATCCTTATAGATTTTTATTTATTTCATTATTAATATCTTGATAATTGTAAAATTTTTTTTCGAATTTGCTCAATTATACTTGTATAATTTGTATTTTCTAAATTAAAGTGTTTTTACTTTTTACACATGTAATTTTGAATAATTTTATCGCTTTTTTTTCTTTTTTTAATCTATATTCACATTACATATCCTACAAAAAAGTTCAATTTTCTTTTTGCGTTGTAATATCTCAAAATTAATATAATAAAAAAAACTCAACAATTATATATGTAATTCATTTGTCTTTTTTTTTCAAATACAACTATTTTTTATTATTTAATTTGGCCTATTGCACACATTTTTTATTCTAAATTAATAATGAATACAGATTTTAATCAGTTAGTATTAATTGATCTCTTTAATGTTGTATAATGTCATTGAGGCCTGAATTACATAACACAATTTCAATCCTTTTTCATAACAAACTACAGATTAGGGATATTTCTTTTCTTAAAAAGTAAAAAGATTAAAATCGATTATTTTAATCTCTAAAGCAATGGCATTAGTCTAACAGAACAAACTGTTGTTAATCTATTGATTTTGTTTTAAAGTAGCAGTGCTTAATTATGAATTGTATGTAAACAAACCTACAGAAATTGATTTCATTTTTATTAGTATCCTCTAAATCCTAACAATACGATTACGCGAATATGAACAAATCGATTCTTGTTAATTAATTCACTGAGCAGACGGATTTTTTTGGTTTGGTGAATGTTTATATATATATATATATATATATATATATATATATATATATATATATATATATATATATATATATATATAACCTGTAAACATGTGCGCCAATATTGTAATTATTAAGTTTTTTGTTCATTCAATGTCGAAAACCATGTATGGTTGAAACTCAATAATTATGTCATGATAGTATGGTATCATGTTGTGGTTGAATCTACTTTTCTAATTGATTCGATTTCTCTTAGATGTTTAGTTTTGTAAATTTTCGATAATTGATGATGAGAAAAAAATGTATCTAACTTGGTTCAGTGTATACTTTCATTTGTACAAAAAAATACTCATTTTGTTACAATTCATTTATTTGATATTGATTTGACCTAACGTCCATAAGGTTTCGTTGCGACTGTTAAAATGGATGAAAACATCATTGTTTTTACAAATGATTTGGTATCAACGGCAGAAGAGTATACATGGTATAAGGGGTTTGCGGGAATCGTTGAATGGTGTAGTTTACATCATTAACTGACCTTAAGCAACTGTTAAATACTGGGGAGCTTTGAATAGCTGTTTCGTTCGAGTGTGCACATTTTCAGTGGTATCTATCCACAACCCCACCTGTAATCAAACTTAAAGGTAGCTCCTGAAACTGTAGGAAGAACCCATACATGAAAGTTAAGCGGTTACCCATTAAAAAAGTTGAAAAATGGTTACGTAATACCATGAATCGAGTAGTGCTAGATATTCAAACCATTAGACCCGACCTAATGGTATGAAGAGTGAGTGCTGTCCGTGGAACCTGAAGCCTTCCTATAGGATGCTGAATGTGAACTAAAGGATGTTTGTTTTTCTACAATACAGTAGTGAACAATACTTAACGTGCATTCGACATCTCTACTCCTGTTTTATATTCAGTAATGAGTTTTTTGTCTACATTTTTACTCATCAGTGTTTGTTTTATTTGATAACAGTTATTCACTTTATCCTGTCATATAAAATCATCCAATAATTTTCACCCTTTAAGTTATACTTAACTGTTTGCTGTGTGATTAACTAAACAGAATAGTTCATTCTATCATAATAAAAACTGCAGACCACATATCTGAAATATTATAAACAAATTATAGTTTATAATATTGAACAATCGCTACGTTATATCTCATTATATTGGAAAGAGTTCATTTGATTCATAAAACCGATTGAATGTCACAGATGATTTTGTGTGATGGCGGTTACTAGTTTGATTAAAGTTAAATAAAATACAAACTTTCGACTTCAGACACAATGAAACATATTATCATGAAATTTAAAGTCTATAGATTTGATTGCATACAGACTATGTGAAATCAACTTCTTTAATAACTATTAAACATGGACAAAATTATATTTCAATGAGTACAAAACTTTAATACAATGAAATTTACATGAAATATGTATGATTTTCAAACAAGTTACTCACCACTGTTGCAAAGAAAATGTGCAGTGGTATTTTAATTGTTGGTGTCTACTAATTTTATACCTCAAGATTTCATGTTAATAAACAAAGCAAACATAATAATCTAAGCAATAATTTTTTAAGAAAAGAAATCCCCATTACCTATTTGTATTTACCAGAATCAATTCCTTTTGTGCGTTAACAACTCTAACTCTGCCTGATATTTTGTGTTATTGAAAAAGATAAATATTGTTTTAGTGACAAAAGTAAATATGAACTGTCAATTTTCGCTAAGTCGTTATGGATCTTGTCATGAATACAACTTCAAAAATTATTTCAGTTCATTTTAACCATAAAATAATTGGAGATTGTTTCAATAAGCACATTTTCAATATAAGTTGAATTAGGCGATAATTCACTTCTGAATAGTATTAAACAATAACAATTAATTTATATGTTCATTACAGCTTTTGTGGAACTATTTAAATATTGGAACTACTTAGTTTAAAACACTGTACACCCATGCTCTATTTCGATGGTTAGAGAGAGTCTATCAGGAAACGCTAAACGTAGAATCCATGCCAGTTTTAATCGGACTGATGCTCTGAACTATTCAAGCTCGCGTCAGCTCGGATCTTAAAATATCAAGATGTTATCATTGATCTCATGCTTGTATCTCACATGAGGGATCAGTTCTCTTAAGATTACAAGTACAACTGTCTACTGAATATTAACTTCCATGAATCCTAGTCTCAAGATTTCTCCCATAGAATAAAGATCTGTTTGAGGTGGACGTTACTTCACAATATATGGTTGTACATCATCAGACATTCTGTACTATAGAGACAAGCGTAATGGACGGTTTATTCGAAATACTGGTATAAATCAATTAAGACAAATTTCAACCTTCACAGTTCTACTATTCTAAAAAGAATAATTATTCATACAACACTACAGAATTTTAATCTCTACCGGAATATTCGTATTCCAGTCATACTTGTTGACTTGAATATGCTCGTCTAATTTGTCAATACAAAATGGGTCGATAGCCAGGGAAATTTCTTTTCAGGGTTCTATGTTCAAATTTTTTAGCTAATTAAACATGGAAAATAGTTGTTTAACATAATTTATTCAACTTGTATGCTAAATTTTAATTGTGTTTCAAAAATATACTTAATTGATGTATAAAGCACTAAAATCTCTGCATAATTCATAACTAGATGAAGACTTATATTAAAAGTGTGCAATGGTTTGATTTTTCACTAATAATTATATCGCCATAAATATTGATTTAACTCATCACTTTTTTCCGTTCGAGTATCATGTCATCAGAGGAATGAATACAAAATTATTTCACTAGTTGACATCAATAATTAAAAAATGGGCTATTGTTTCAATGAAATTTAATATTTTCTTTATAATCCAGTCTATATGACATAATTGATGAAAATAATCCTGACTGATAAGCTATTTCAGATTAAGTTAACGAGCTAGACTGACCGACTTTATTGAAAACTTTATCAAATTCTACTCTTGTTCTATATGAAGTCTTGCAATTAAATGATTAACTGTGTTATTTGGAGTGTTTAAAGTATAATTTTAACAATGATTTTCTGAAGTGTTTTTGAATTAAAAACATGCATAAAAATTGTAATGCCATAAAAATGAATCGATCTTATCAGATAAACTTTATTAACATATCTTTGAAAATTCTGATATTGTTTTGAACTTATCGATCACTCCTCGATAGTTGTTGGTCATTTATAGAAAAAACGGTCATTTCTATGTTATTAAAAGTCTTGTTATGAATTGTAAAAAGCACTACTCTGTTGCATTACGCGAAGGCTTGAGACCTTCAGGTCAGTTGTAGAAAATGGTGTTGAACTGACCGAGTGGTGTCCCGTATTTATATATATATATATATATATATATATATATATATATATATATATATATATATATATATATATATATATATATATAAACACTTGATTACTGAAAGCAATGGAAAATTTGATAATTTGAACCTGGACACAGCCCGTATATTTTTTAGATGTTCAATTATGATGATTTCGATTTGTGTATACATTGAATTCTGAAAAACGTTTCCATGCTTAAAAACAGAATACAGTTGAAAGTTGTCCAGTTTAGAAAGAATTAGTGGTAGTGATGGAAGAATGAACAAACATAAAAAAATTAAGAGCTGTTATACATATCACCTCTTGAAGAAAAAGTATATTATAGAATCTGAATCGTCGACTATTAGGAAGAAATGTGACGAACATACATAAATCAACTTTATACTGAAAATTCTTAATTAAATAAATTTCATTATTTTATTCTATTCACATGCTTGTGCTTGTTGAGGAGCTGTTTACAACAGTCATTAATAGTATGATCAATTGTTACATTTTACAGAAGTCCAATTAAAATACAGATACACAAGTTTTCTATAAGTTAACACAACTTGTTACATAAGTGATAAGATTAATAATAACTAGTATTTCGCAACTACCAAATTGAATGGGTATACAAAATCCAGTGATACTCATACACTTGAGCTTCAGAAATACACGCAAGCTAAAAAAAAAAACATCGGTAAATAGTGTAGACTGAGCATTGTTTATCACTTCCTTCATAACGTTTAGCCCAGAGACACTTAACGGTATCACATGCGTCCGATATATCTGGATTTTTAACTAGTTAATAATTATCAACATAACTTCCAATATTTATATACCATATATGCAAGTTGTTATTCAGTAGTTGGAGTTTTCATTTACTACTAATAATAACAGTAATAATAATATACATAATTAAATCTTCTGAATTTCTAAATTTATGAATTTAATCATCATCATCATCATCATACGTTTGTGTTTCTCTACTTTTATTATAGAAAATGATCATATTAATCGCAATCGGTAGTGGAGTGCTATTAATTATTCTCATTATTGTATTATCCACAGTAATAACAAGAGTGTAATAATTTTGCTTATTTTGTTTACAGTATCTTTAGAACTTTATACTTACTACTTGAATATGGTATTGATTAAGGAATTCTTTCTTAAGTCACATATTCTGGATGACAAAAACTACTATGTATGGCACCATCTCTTTCATGTAAACAATGAATTTTTTGTGTAAATCAATCAAACAAGGAATCAGCTGGGTTATTAAAATAAACAAAGTTTTCTAACAATGTATTTTATTTTATTTTCCAATATATTACACTTAAAATAGAATGTGTAAAAATCTGTTTTACGCTTATAGAGGCTTTTCAAAGAGCATTGTAAGTCTCAAAAAAGAAACAAAAAATGGTCGATAAATCATGCTACTCATTCTATAATCTTACTACTTAAATCTTTTAAAGAAGTTAATACACACAATGATGATGATAAAATTTAGTTTATTGAACTTTTAGTGGCTGCATTAAATTCGAAGTAAGGCTCACATCTTCCATAGCCCGTGATCTGTCTCCGATTTGGACGAATGATAGAGTATGAGTTGAAATAAATCTCTCTTTCGATTTCCCGAATTCACTTGGACGAGTGTATTTCATACAAACGTTCACACAGACAGTCA